CGCTTATTGACTTTGATTCTACAGCTGTAAAACCCTTTTTGAAAAGTTCACCTCAGTCCCAATTTATTACATTCGTTTCAATAAGTAGAAATATTTCTAGCTATTTTATAATTTTTGAACAATGTTAATACATGAACAATACATATTTAAACACAAATATTACATTTACTTGCAACTATTATTTGCTATCGTTCAGTTGCACATTCGCCGTCAATTTCTATGTAGAATCAAAACATTTACTCAGTATTAAAAAATTAATTCTGAATAAGTGAAAAAGTTAGTAAGAAGTTTTTGCTGGAAATTGTATATATTATAATTTTGGAGAAAATGTATTTCTATTCGTTATGAGAATCTCTGAAATTTCGCACATAATCGTAATTAAAAAATAACGATTGTCTTCAAATTATCAAGACAAATAATTGTTCGAAAACAGGATGTTTGAATAATTCTGTTTGAGGAATAGACAGTTTGCTTGAAAATTCGTTTTTTACTTAATATACATCCAAGAAATATAAAATGGAGTAAATAAGCAAGAGCAAACTATGCGTTGACGACACTGCACTGATTATGCACGACAAAACAATCACAAAAGTCGTGGCTTTTTTATTTTATCCGCTAACAGGCGAAAGAATGGTATGGTTTTATAAATGAAGACCAAAAAACAAAATGCAATGAAAAACCAGCCACTCTTACCAAATCACTGAATTAACACCAACTCTCCAACAATTAAAACAAACCTGAACAGAACTTATCCAAAACAAGAAGTACAAAAAATACCCAGAAAAAATTCTAGGCCAAAAACTGAGACACTCACAAAACTAAGTTTTAAATAAAACCGCAACAAAAACTTAACAAGTTCTTAATATACCTTTGCTCAGATAGTGAGAGAAAACGAAGCAATACAAACTAATTGAGCTAAAATTAATAACGAGGGCAAAAATATAAGAAAAACACATAAAGTTACAGAGAAAAAAGAAAAACAACCGCCTGAACTTTACGATTATAGAACCCCTTTTGTGTTACAAGACGTAGCAGGCAATCATCTACCATCATATGTTTATGTACATTTCAGTGCCGATTGAAAGAACTTGAAAAACTGCAGAATACTTATTCTGCTGAAAGCTGGATGCATCCAAAGATACATTTATCGAAAACCCATACAGTAAAGCTATTTCGAGAGCCTTCTGTAGGCTCATTGTTATCTCTTCAGGGTAACCGATTTTCGGAACAATTAGCAGGTAAAAAGGCTTCAACATATTCTTTCACCGGGTCGAGAACGCGTCATTCTGAAGCCAGAGTTATACGTTTCGTTTCTTCTAGACTAGAGTTTTCCCTATTTTACTGACGAGAAAAGCAGTTAACTTTAATATTTTTTTAAACGATTGAAGATAGATTTGTGGGATTTGGTGGGTAAGGTGCTCATGCACTCAACTTTTACAACTGGATAATCATCATGTTGCAAGCTCAGTTGCTTTAAAGAAGCGGGTATAAACATGACCATTTAAAAAAAAACTAGCTTCAATCCGTCGTGTATGTAGAAAACCATTCACCGTATATATTTCAGCTTTAAACAAGAACAAACATTCGATTTAAAGTGGAGATTAATAGCAAGTTATCTTCAGATTTTTCTTTCCTATTATTTAAACTTTTTGTTGCATTTAGTGTGTCTTTAATGTTCTCCCTCTTAGTTTACTCTTATTACGAACTCTTCATTTGAAGAATCACATTTTAATTTACATGGTATTAGCATATTGAGAGCATTGTTATACTTAAAAAAGTTACGTAGGCGCAACCTCAGAAGTTTTCCAACTACAGAATTTTTTATTAATTATCTCCAACGTTCGAAAATATATAAAAAACAGGAATTGCAGCTTTTCAATTTGGCGGACGATGCATGTTCTATATTAAATCCATGTGCCTTGATTGATTAACTTTTAATAATAAATTAGTGTGTTGGAATATTAACGAATTATGTCAATAAAATCTTATTTAAATATTAATTATTGTTACTGGATAAATATTGTTACAACAGTCTTCTTTTTTTGAGATTTCCGGGTGTCCAAACATCAGCTCAGCTAATTTTTTAATAAATGTATGCATTTGCAAACGCTAATTAATGTCAATTTGTACACAGTGATTTAATTTGTTAATATGTTTAATGGTTTGTCAATTATCTTGTCCATTTCAAATTCCAATCCAGCTAGAAGCAAATTCGCCTATAATTGCTAATTTGCTCTTAATAAATATTATAAAGTTTTATAGCTTGAATAATGAAAATTTGATTTTTTATTGAATATTTAAGGCGGGTAAATGACGGGAAAAATACCACTATATTTTCCAGTTTTGCGTTTTTCCCAAGATTTAACAATTTATTTTTTAAATTAAAGTATAAATCTTGCAAAATAATTTTGTCATGTAATTTTAAAATACATTTTTTCTTTAAATTATTTGATCAAACCGTAAGGAAAAAGTTTTTCATGATTGAACGAATATCTACTATTTGTGTTGAAATGCACAAATCTAATATAATACGCTAAGCTCAGTCAAACAATGTAATTTCTAGGTGCTTGTATCTCCCAATTAAGACAATTATTTCGATTGAAAAGTCGGAAGTTTTCTCATAACATTTTTTGTAAAACTGCTCATAACAATTGGTGGAAAAGAATTATTTGCAAATTCGTCCGATATTTATGAACAGAAAAAATTGATCTTGCGCGAAAGACGAATGTTTTGAACTTGAACATTTTCATCGCTGGTTTCAAACTGAAAATACGATTAATTGCCACCGAAAATTTGATATTCGTACGTTTTATGGACAAAGCGAATGACATAAGGATAGACACAAAAAAATAGAACTAACAATACAAAACAAACAATACTCCATGGTTGTCCAAAAATATGGCGAATTTTCTTTGATCGAACAGGCCGGTGTTTTACTGCAATGGAACCAACAGAAACAATTTTAAAGTTTAGAAATAGCGAAAGCACAATTTGGCCAAAAGGTTGAGAAAGTGCTCTTACTGTTAAACATAGACTTATATTAAAAAAAAAACTACATGGATCAAGTAGGACTATCGATATTGCAATTTCACTACACAATCGACAAAATGTTTAAGCATAATATGCGAAAAATATTATATTAGCTAAAAACAATTTAGTTTATATAATTTGCAAAGTTTTCTCACAACTCGGTCAAAACCACTATATTTGATTCGTCTGCTTTTTGCTGGAAAAATTACCTTTAATGTTAAAAAATCGGTCATATTTCACTTGCTTTTCAGCTTCAACAATTTTTGGCCTTAAAATTGAAAATGCGTACTTTGAATTTTTTTTTCCTTCCAATAGTTCAGTTACGACATGGTCTGAAGATTGAAAGGCATTGTAACAAAAAAATTGTACATATCGCGAAAATAACGCATTTTGAACATGTGATTGTTTAGTCGAAGAATCTCTCTATGGAAACTGTTATGGAACATTAAAATAAACCGAACTTACTTATCTTGCACAGTTTGTTTTTAATTTTGTGATTTTTCGACGCAAGTAATATAATGAACAAAATTAAATGTAGCAATAGTGAAAGCTTTTCATTTTTTGAATTTCGGCTAAAAGTGAATCAGTCAATGTAGGTGGAAAAACAATAAAAACGATGCAATTTTCATACATTTCCTTAAAAATAACGTTTCTTTTATGAGAAAACCACCAAATAAAACGATCTAAAGTTTATTTTTAAATAGCTTAATAATTAGAAGCAATTTTCTATCTAATTTGCTTTTAAGTTGTTAAACATTTTATTGGAGTTGAGTTTGAGTTAATTCGATATTTCAGTGTTTTTGTGGTAATATCGGTGAGCTAAAAGTCTAACTGCTTAACTGAAGAAAATTCTACTTGTAATTTTTAATATAATTTAAATTATTTTTATTGAATATGATTTACGGTCGCTTTATCAACAATAGGCAATACAACATTCCGGCCTCTAAATTACGCCTTAAATAATAAGATTTCCCTAAATCTTGTTCTCATTATTATATGTATAATTAAAGACATATATTTAGGCCAGTCTATTCATTTGCCAGGTGAAATTGTCGCTGAAGTCAAATCGGGTTAAGATGTCTAAATACCGTTACTATTACCGATTTTAGAAAGTTTAGAATGGCTGAAATCGTTGAAAATGGCTCGTGTACTGCAGAACAGCGACGTGTTAACTAACGAATAAGCTGTATAGAAGCCTACAATAATGGATTATAAAGAAATTTCATCGAAAAAGGGAAATAGGAAAAAAAAGGAATTTATACGAAACTGTTTTCATTCAGAAGTTTTGCGTAAGTCTGCATTAAAAGAGGGAAAATATATTTTTGCTTTTTAGGTCAAGGATTGAGGAGGAGATTAAATTTTTAATTAACTAACGTTGGTTGTTGATTTCGTTCGTGTATCTGAGTATCTTAAACGACATCAATTACATCAAAACAGTGTTTTCTTTGTAACTTTTTTAAATTTCTACATGAGGCTGTAATTATTCAGTTGTTTCTTTTCCGGAATTTGTCTATGAATGTCCCAAATAATTTCTTTAATTTTTTTTAAAATTAAATTGTATCATTCTTCAAGGGACCTTAAGATTCAGTAATTCTAAATAAGAATTCGGTTTCTTGAACCATTTTCAAACATATTTATCATGCACATATGTGGAAGTTGCATTTATTTACTGCTCATTTCTACTCTGACAATACACAATATACACAGTTTACAATACACTGACTATTTTTTAATGTGGCGCATTCTGAAAAATGCCATTTTGTCTTTTAAAATTTAACACAACTTTTCATTTATGTCTGCTCAGATTTTCCAAAAATTACTATCTAAATATGTTAGAGCTTGAATCAACTTCAAAGTTCAGTAGTTCCACTTCTGACTTACAGTTGAATTCTATTTTATGTAGGAAAACTTACTATTATATTGTTAAGCATCTCTACACACAGTTTAATTATTCCTTTTTTTCGTTACAGTTTTTTCATGAGCGCAATTTTGCCACCATCCAAATGACATGGCGACCAAGGTCAAGAAACAGATTTCAGCTACGAAAGAGATAGTTACTCCTCAGAGCAACAAAAATGAGGCTGCCAGCAGCAGTGCAACTCAAAAAGCTGGCGCTAAGCTTCAGAGCGAGAGCGGCGAAATTAAGAAGAGAGGCCGGGGGCCGATGAAGAACTCCGTGAAATCGATCACAGCAGTGAAGAAAACCGTTCAGATGAAGGCGAAGAATGTGAGGAAGGATCTGAAAATCAATCCGAAAAACATTGAAAGAGTTTTAATGGAAAATGGAAAAGGTTAGTGATTTTTTATTGAGTAAGAGTGGTTTGTCCTTTCGGTATTTCTTTTATCATATGTTTCTTTATGTTTTTAAATCGGCGATTTTTAAATGCTTCATAAGAAAATTTAATTAGATGGTTTTTAGCAAATGTGTGCGCTTTCACTAAGGAATCAATTATTCCCTGTAAAACAATACTTTTTGGAACTTAAATTCAACATGGAAAAAGTCTTGAAGACTATGAAAAATGACCTTTCAAGTAGTGTAGGCTTTTATGCAGCAAAAGTAACAACTTAAGCCATTCGTTCATCTGCAGACACAATACACAAAATAATTAATAAAAATTCAAACATTTAAAATAAAAACGTAAAATTTTTCGAGTCAAGAAATGACAAACTTTAGTTTTTGAAACAAAAATTGTTTCTTCGTGGGTTTTTTTTCATTTATTGATTTAATTTTTTTACTATCTCTTTCTTATTTGTATGCACTTGTTATTATCTTACATGATTTAGTCACCACAGAAGTGAAACCAGATAAAAACAAATCAAAGTCATATTTGCTTTTATTTTATTGCAAGTAGGAATAAAATGTGCAAGCAAATGGATACATTTCACATACTTGCATGAGTTCACTAGAAAATTTCCTCGTTCGTCTCCATCTATGGAACATGCTTTATATACGCTCTTTTTCGTTATTTACCTTCAGTTTATCAATTATTTTTGCTCTTCAATTAAAGGCAATGAAACTGGATTTTTAACCAGCTTGTTGAACTTGAGTAATCATCTAATCGGTAAAGTAAAGCTAATTTATTGCACAGCCAGTTGATTTTTGCGGGTTTAATGTTAAACCAGATTCCTGAATTTTATCGATACATTTTCCAAATGTTTCTTAAGCAGTATCTTTACTTGAAACAGGAATATCGTAAAAATGTGCATTTCCGCTTTATAGATTATGAAGAATGTTCGATATCGTTTCTTGTAAAAGCTCGGGTGCACATTCCAAAGAACATTCTATTGAACTTGCATTTGAGAAACTACTTAACTAAAATTACGAATCACTTGATCGAACCCCAAAAGTGTCTGGAAAAAAACTAAACACGGTTCGAAAAAATTGATAAGCGCTTCTTGAAGAAACCAACTATTAGATCGTTTCCGTGATAATGTTTAAAATGTATTTGGGTGATTTTTAAAAATGATTTAATCAACAGTTTAATTAATAAAGAATGTATTGTATAAAAACAAGTAAACCACATAATAGATAATTTCGGAACAAATAATTTGATAAAAAATATATAGATTCATAGTACAGAGAGTATAACTAATTATTTAAATCTTTATCTTTATTTACAGTTTTGAAACGCGCGTTTTCCTAAATTTTAGTTGTTAATTATGTAAAATTCAAATGTATTTGGGCTGGTTGACATCTTTGTTTTGCGTTTCAATTTATCAACTTGAGTCTCAAATCTAGCTCAAAAATGATTTTTTTTGTTAGGAGGTAACGAAAAAGACCGGCCAAACTTTTTCTAACTGATATTTTGTCTTTTCAGATCTGGAAGGGAAAAAAATCCTGCTGAAAAACGACCTCAAAGAAGGAGTGAAACGCGGTCGAAAGCCCAGAGTGCCGAAGATCAAAGTGGAACCCGGAGAGGATCCGCCTCCCGTTCTAGAGCCGATTTTTCCGCAGGACAACAACATGGAAGTGAAAAAGACCCCGAAAAAACGGGGAAGAAAACCTTATAAACTACCCACATTGATTGATGTGATGGCGATCAAGTCGGAGCCGTTGGAGGACACTGTAGGCACTAGTGAGTTTTCTGGGGATCCTGCTCTCTTAGAAGTCATTACTCCTAAAGTCAGGAAACCTAGACAAAGGTGAGTTGCTGGATGTTCTAAAACTAGCACTTTTACAGCCCGTTTTCTCAAATCTTTTGATACCATAGTCTCTTTAGAGAAAGCTCTTGCCTTCGCTATATACGCTGTTGCGGTATCTGTAGTATGCAGAAGCTTATTTTCTTACAAGACGGTTTTCTGCTGTCGCGCCAATGTTGAATTTATAATTAAATGATATATTTTTTAATTTGTACTTATGTTAATGAAATATATGAATCATGTATTTTTTCCTTAAATTACAGAAAACCGAAAGTAGAACCCGGTTCTATAGACGAAGTGATGAACGATCTCACCTTCCTGATAGATACCGCGCAAATCAAAACGGACCCCAATCAATCTGCTTTGGAATTGAGCAAACTCGTCACTCCGAAAGGGAAAAGAATGACCAAAAAGCAACGCTTGGAAGCGATGAAAGAGGACTTGATTAAGAAGGAAAATATCGAAAACTCAGTGAGAAAATTGAACCCAGCTGAAGTGAAATTAATCGAAAGTTTAGATCTGAATGTGGCTAAATATAAGACTGATTTTCCTAGAGAAAAGCGACGGCATAGTGTCGAAAAGTTTCCGGTCACTCCGGTGGATTCGGGTGCTGATGGACCAATGATACCTCAGTTATCTCTCTTCAGTCAAATGCCCAGGTAAGAATAAAACAAACCGGTGTAGTTACAAAATTATTCTTGAAGGAATTCTCCGCATGTGTTTGGTCTTATCTTGCTAATTATTCCTTTTATTACCTGTACTTATTTTTTCTCAATTACTTCGTTATATTTTCATACTCACTTGATATTAAAACGCGGAACACAACAAAGTATTTTGTTCGTTAATTTTATAGCCCTGAATTTTCGTTTTAAATTCTATAATTTGGTCACAAACCAATAATTCTTTAATTGTTAACTGCTGGAGTGAGTGAAAAAGTATAAAATCCTAACTTTCTTCATTAAGAAGTTTAAGTCCGCGAACATCAAGAAGAGTGTTAAAGATGGGCTTAAAGAAACCGAGTCCGTACTCAACCAGATCGGACTCGTCAACCCGATTGCTTCGTAATGGCAAGCACAGACAGCTGAAGACATTTACGTTGCTCGAAGGACTGGAAAATCCAACGAGACGGCGCCGACTTCAATCTGATTTTAGTGGTTGTGAGGTTCCATCCAAAATGTCTGGATATGAATCAGACAGCAGTTACTCCGACTTAGCTTCACTGCATGGAAGCGAAAAAGATGGGGACGTCCTAAAATTGGTACAGCTAAACAATGTTGCTTTTTTCACAGCGTTTCATTGAATGCGTCCTTTCAGGCCAATAAGGATGTTGATGGCCTTTCAATGGATGAGTCTTCAAGCTTCGATGTTAAGTCTTCAGTAGCTTCAGATCCGATCAAAGCTGCTGCAGGTTCTGAAGTAGAAAGACCGTTATTTGACACCAATTCCAACGTTTGTGATAATGACTCAGTTGAAATCGGCGAACACACTAAGTTAGAGTATATCGACTCTAATGCGCCCTTAGAAGAAACATCAAGCACCAAAGTTCCAGATAAAGGAATTTTATTGGATATAATGAAGCATGCCTTTAGTGATATCGAACTTGAATCTGGTTTAGCTAAGGACGAGGATTCGAAATTGCATATAAGAGCAAGCTCATCGGCACCGAATGTTGAGGTAATTGTACTATGATTTAAAGGGCAAGGCCCAAATTTAATCTTTTAAAAGTAAGAGCATTTTCCAATATAAAATTATTTGAACCTTTTAACCGCTTGAATTGAAACTTTTCTTAATTGGTAAAATACCTATAGGAAAAATTTTCTAAAATTTCAGATGAAGCTTTGCGCTATTTCGACAAATGATTTATCGCCAACTGCAACAGCCACGAATTTGCCACAAAGCGGTCCCTCAGAAGGACTATCTGAAGAAGAAGCACTGATTAGATTGTTAAATGAAACGGCTCCAGAACTAAGCGATACCGGAGTTAAACACAACAATACAGGTACCACCTAACGGATTTACTAAAACTTCATATCAGAAATTAATGTTTTTTTTTCTATTAAAGGGAACAAAGCAACTAAAGACGACACGATTGAAGATGTTTTTAGTGCAAATATTGTAAATGATTCTACAAGTTTACTTAGTTTTCCCAAACATTCTACACCAAAAATAGTTTTATCTGAACAAGCGCCGATTTTGGTTAGAGAAATATCACCTCAAAGTAAGCAACATTTTTATATCAACTAATTGTTTTGATCAACCGCATCTCAATAACGGATCTTTTGCTCTTGATTTTCATCATTTAATCTATTTTTGAGCAAATGCGGAGGTTTCTATTAATTATTTCTGTGGGTTTACGTGTTATCACTCAAATTTGTATTGTTCAAATCTGCCAATGAGGAAAACTTGATATTAATAATTTGCAACCGTTGAAAATAATTTTTAGATGTGGATAAAGAGGGTGTGATTCCTGTAATCGATAACATGGCTGTGGCCGATCTAGAACCGCAACAAAATGCAAAACACCTCGAACCTCCACTGCTCGAGTCGAGCGTGCCATTGCTCGAACCGCCAGTAGTTAAATCTGCTTCTAAAATCGACGCAAAAACGCCCCTGATTGACGATAAAAAAATCGGAATTGCCGTGACTGAAAAGGATAATGTGGTCTTATTCTCTATTGAACATTTAACTGATGACTCCGGTGATCTGGATGTTAGTATGGAAGACATTAGTCAAAACATTGAGGAAGGACACTCGGCAATGCCGCAAAATACAAGTGGGGCCGAAGCAGCAATTAAAGAAACTGAGTATGTAGAGCATGGTAAGTTACTAAGCATATTCTGAACTAAACGCGTTATTCATTGCGTGAATGGGTTTGTTACATTTCTGAAAATATTTAAGCAGAAAGTGAGGAAGTAGACCAACCCGGGGCCAAAAATGAGGAATCTCAAGTTGATGAAACTAAAACGATTGAAAAATCAGTGGAAATCGAAAATGAGTCTATAGACATTGAAATTTCTGAACCATCACAAGTTGCTGAACAAGCAACCGGTGTTGAAGCCAGTGAAGTTCCTGTAAATGAAGGTCAATTGGAAGTAAAGCAATCTGAGAAGAGTGTAGAGACTGATGTACACATGACTGAAAACGAATGTGATAAACCTAGTGAGACTATTGAAAAGAGTGATGAAACTGTAGATAATAGCAAAGCGGTAGAAAATGTTGTTCAAGAATCACCTGAAGAGTTGGCGCAAAAGACGAGCATATTAAATGTAAGTTTGCCTGGTAATTTCTAATCGACTTTGATTACAACTCGCGTTTCTTAGGCGCTTGGCCTGCAGAGTTTACATGCTCATGCTGTTGTGATCGAGGCGGGCCCGGGCCCTTCTAGTGGGCGGAAAAAAGGAAAAGCTTCCACTGCAAAGAGCGACGGTTACACTGGAACTTTAAAGACTGTGATAAAAATTAATAAAAGGAAAGGAAAGAGTTCGTTTAAGATGACAGTGCAGAAGAATAAAACCAAGAGTGATGCTGCTCCTGAAGACGGGGACGACGCATACAAAGTTTTGAAAGAAGTAAGAGTTTGCTGTTTAAAAAAACTGGCTGTTTACTAATACAATTTTTTACTTTAGGCTGGTCCTAGCTGCTCGAAATATAACAAAGATTCCTCCGATACAACTGGTGCGCACCGAAAATCACATTATCCTAATCGATCTAACATGGGTAATTATATGGTTTTGGGTTCAGCTTTTTTAAACTAGTCTATGGAATATTTTCAGTTTAAACTTTTAATTTTTTACACCGTACATGTTTTTTTAGAACGTCTTAAGTACATAATTATTCCATTTTTTAATTATTATTTTTTATTAATCACATTGAAAATCGGTCAGTTGTTCCATTCACACTAATTGTCCTAATTTATTCTACAAAAATACTTTTAAACATGATTCTTCTATCTGCATTTAGCTTTTGCATAACACATAATACTTGGCTTTCAATAGGCATTTTATTGGTTTTGGGTTTATTGATCATCTTGTGAGTCGTGCAGTTTTGAAGCATTAAGCTTGTTATTTCTTCTCTAGCTAATGGGAATTTTTTTGCGCTATTTTACGAAAAAAATGTAACCACTGAAAATGCTCTGTAACTTGTGTGAAAACTACTACAGCCTTATTTGAAGCATTCAGTTCTACAACTCAACATATGAAAAAGTTGACTACTTATCGTTCAGCCATTTTAGAATAATAAATTTTAAACTGTTTATAACATTAGAAACCAAAATTTTAATTGAAAAAGTATCAACGTTATGCAAGTGAATATACATTTTTGTTAGTTCAGTTTAATAATTTCCATTTAGGAATATACAAAACCTTACTTTGGACGATCTCAAAAATTTCCTGAATCAAAGTCAATATTACCGGTTATGCCATTATTTAATAAATCTTTATTTTATCACACTTTAGACGGCAGTAGCGAACACACATCCGATAGCGAACAGGCGAATTCAACACCGGACAAAAACCAACCCGAAAAGTCACTTATTGTCCCGGAAAAAGCCAGTTCATTTAGCATCCATCCAGGAAGACTGTGCAAGGACGAATGTTCGTACTGTTTCGGAAAATTCGGCTTATTTGATACGCCGTGTCATATCGCACAAATGAAGAGCGTGGAAAGACAAAATAAGATCTTAGCCAGTAAGTTCCGAAAAATTGCAGTTAAAACAGATTTACTGTTTAACGCTGATAAAAAGAACTTTGACACAACATTTTTCACTTCAGCTGAAACTCATTTAACTTGGGACTCATGTCTTTGCGACGCCTGTTATCGACATGTAGATCGGAAATCAAATTCCCCCTCGTATATGAACAAATCTCAAAAGAGAAATGCTTTGGTGGCGCCGGGACCAAGACAAAACCATTGTTATGTATTGGGCTGTAATAACGTTTCTACCAACATCCTACGAAGGAAATGGATTATCAAAATGCGAACGAGTATTTGCCAAGTGGTAAGTCTATCATAGTGTCAGCTGCAGGCGTTTTTAAATCGACTTCATCGCCTTTCAGATAAATCTAGATTTGGACAATCCTGGACTTCATTCGATCCCCATTTGTGATGAGCATTTTACGGCGCTGGAACATTTGATGATTTGTGCCATGTGTAAGCGCCGTTTGGCTCGGAATCATATCCACTATTTAGGTCCAGAAGTTCGGGAGCTAAACCAAGCTCTAAAGGATGACGGTAATCTCTTCTAAACTAAAGTTATTTTGATAGTGGTAATTATCAATTCATTTTTTATTCGTTTAGCCATTCCTGTTGCGCTGTCTGATAAGCCAGTCGTGTGTAAAATGTGCAAATGCTTTGCTTCGATATTACTAAAAGATCCAGAGGAACGTATGGAAAATAGTATCAGCTTTTTCAAGGATTACAAGAAAAGGTATGCATCTTCAGAGAGATTTTTTTCTATTGCTCATATCGCTTTTCTATTCAGGTTGGTGCATTTTAACAGCAAAGAGCCCCCGGATGCCAACGTGCCTCTAGAGCCGATTGCAATTCCGGGCAAAACCGAAAAATCTACAGATAAAAAGAAGTCAGAATCTAGAAAGAGAAAAAGAGTGAGAAATTCTTCTAATGAAACGAATAGCCAAAAGGGCAGCCATGATGAAAAAGACGATGATGATGAGATGAACTTGAGGTGACCCATTTTTATTTTCAAGCATTTGTATATTAAAAAAAATGTTACAGGACCAAAAAACGAGTGCCTTCATCCGATACAAATAATTCACAAAGTGCCAACCAATCTCGGGCGCAGTCTCCTGACGATGGAGACGACTATGGAGGGGTGGATTACAACACCCTTATTCCTGCTATCGCTATGGACTGCCCGAGCGACAGTGAAAGCAAGAAAGACGGATTTAACAATTCCGATGGTTTAGAATCCACCCTGTCTACTTTCGAATCGGTAAGAAACTACAGGCTTGGATCGAAATCGATGAATTCTATTCATTATACATTTTTGTTTAGATGGGCAGATCTGTGAACATTTCCGCTTACAAGAGCGGGGAGGATACGAGTCGGTGTAACGACTTGGCTGCTCAAAAACTAGTTCAAAATCCGTCTATATCGCTCAAACCGAACTACACGGCGATCAATAACGAGCTCTGGCGAACTGGACCTTCCAGCAAACTTATCTCTAATCCTGCTTTATCAGTTAGACAACTATTTCCAGGCGAAGAAGAGTTGGGTTTAGTGGGCGATATCGATTTCCAAAATGTGTCCACTCGCACACCGGAAGGCTGGGAGAAAAGCGTCGCAACTATCCAATACGATGCAGATACCAAAATCTTATGGCAAGAACTACAAAAGCCTTATGGCAGTATGAGCAGTTTCCTGCGGCATCTCGTTCTACTGGAAAAGTACTTTAGGTAAGTGGTAAAAATGGCGATTCTTTTAAATGTTAACATTAATCTTCTTTATAGGAATGGAGATTTGGTTCTGTCGCCATCAGCCAGTCATCATGCAGTGAATTACAGAGAGAGTGTGCATAATCGATTGCGCGCCTATGACAATATTCCTAGCAATTCTACCCATGGTCCGCCTTCCAGTGTGCTTCAGTTCAACAAAATGTCGATGAAAACGAGTGGAGGAGGAATCACGAACCAGAATCAAACCAATGGACTGCCGCCAGTCACTATCAGCCAAATTGGAAGATTTAACGAGGTGAGATTTGCGTTTTTGGAATTCGTATGAACGATCAAGAGAATGGTAAATGATCAAAAATTATTTTTCTTTTATTTTCTTGATCAATCATGATTATCTACTCCCGTTCTTAATAATAAAGGTAACATTTTTGCAAAAAGAGGTTTATTGGAATTGGTCTCAAGTCAAATCAACCCTTAGTGAAAAATCTAGGTAAATAACACATTTCATTTCATATAAGTTCTGGTAGTTTTTGTACAACGACACTGAAGAATTCACCACTTGTCCAAAATGGATGAACTCGATTGTTTCATCAAAATATGAGTCTTACATAAGAACATTCACACCGAGTTTCACTAAAATACATCATACCGTTCTACCGATATTTTTTGAAGAACTTTGACCATCAATACCAGAGTAGCCAGACATTTTTTGTTAATGAAATTTAGGTCAGATCGTCTCCTTTTGATGAACATATACACTATCGCAGTATCCTTTTGATCATGTGCTTACGGGACACCCTGTATAATAATACCAGGTTAGCGCCAATCAAAGGCAAAATCCGATTTTGATTGAAGTCCAAATATAATAAAGTATAAAGTAACAAAATATATCAAAACCATAAGTACGTAACTTAGTAACTCATGTACTCAACTACGTACGGTTGTGCTTGATGAGATATAGTGTATAAATACAAGACTTTTGTAAGACTAACGAATAGAACTGATCCGAAGTAAGGAGTATTGGATCCCAAAGTAACGAGTATATAAAAATAACCGAATCTCACACCACTAATGCACAGTAACTCGAATTCTAAGAACGATCATTTGATTTAATAATTTCAGAATTTTAACTCAAGAACGCCGATAACGCTACAACAGCTGAACCAGCCGCCCTTGTATCCAACCAATGTTGTGCTTCAAAATATCGCGGCCTCCAAAAGCCGACCGCCTGGTCTGATTTCCATCAATCAAAGAGCACCGGCACCGACAACAATGAAAACACCGATTCCCAGCCAAAAGATCAAGTTTCCGATTACGAAAAATTGGAGGCCCAATCTGATTCCCATTAACTCGAGTAAAAAGGGGGAGAAAAAACCAGGACTCATACAGGTAAGAAGGCGTAATTTGTGGCGGATCGTTGGAAATTTTTCAATAATTTAATTTTTGGTTACAGGTAGTGTCTGGTGGTAAGCCCTACCACATTACCATCGAAGACTACAAGAAAATGTGCGCGATTAAACGTAGCTTTGAAGCCAAGCAGAAGCGGTTGTTACAGGAGCAACAATTCGCTAAACAGGTGCCTCAGAAGCAGCAGGCGATGCTGGTAAATCCGCACTCGGTGCTCAAAACATTCACGGCAAAGAAAGAACTGGGGGTTGGCAAAAGTTCCACAGGAACAGTGAGCGAAACCAAACCGATTAGTTTGATTCCGATTAGCAACACGGCACCGTCCACTGTGACTAGTGGCAATGGCAATAGCGAGACTATATTGGAAAAGCTCGACAAACAGGTGGAAAGACTGAGCAAAGAGTTCGCTCCCGCAAAGATATCGGGAATAATTTTCGAGAAAAATCCCGCCATCCAAATAATACCGAAAATACCGAAATCCCTCACCGTTATCCCGCAAACAGTTTCAAAGGCTAGTTCGTCCAGAGCCGTACTCCATGTAATAAAAAGCAATTCGAATGGATCGAGTAACGAAGAAGATAGCAATAGCCAACCTTGATTGGTATTTTTGATTTTAAATTTGAACCGAAAGTGCCTAAAGCGAAGTTCTGCAACATGAACGAATTCTAACTGTGCGACAAAGCAAGTGATTACCGAAAGGTTAGTAATGTTTGAATACATCGTACTTTGGTTAAAGGTTCAACTACCTTTCCTTTGTGACAAATGTACACCCCTATACTGTTTATCTATTTATTTAACTACTATATAAGACATCCTTTAGTGCTCGCAAATTTTGGAAGTACGCAAAATCCATCCAAATTCCCACAATTTTTTGTTTAGATCATTTTATGTGGAACAACTGCATAGTTGGTTTCAAGATTTACTAGTTTGACTTCAGCTTATGACAGTCGCGTTTAACTTTATAAATAATTTGTTGCCAAACGATTCTCACGGTTTATAACACTGAAAGCACCTAAAATGAATCATAATTTCTCAGCAGGAAAATTCATAAATTCACTCGTCATGAATACACAAATATTTGTGTATGAATTACGTAAAGAAACAAAATACGTGCCTAATATTCGATTATTCATTTCAAGTTTTTAATTATTAGGTGTATGAACTATTTTTTATCAAATAAAAAAATATATTACATTTTTTCTACTTAAAAACCTGGCCTTTTTGAAGTCGTTATTGCCACAAGATCATCAATTTTAAACTCTTAACATAGTATAACGGTTGTTATTAACCGTTATACTTTCGTTCCAATTTATAGATACAACGATTCTTATAGTTTATTTCTTATGCGTTATTAATTTTGGAATTATTCAAAAATTAACCTACTTTCAGAAATGTTTTATTTTAGCACAACTTTTTGCTTTTTACTGCCCCTACAGCAACCACATAACATTATTATTATATGTTATCGTTTTATTTTCCTTCCAATATCAACATTCGTAGTATTCTGTTTCTTATGTGACTCATTTTACACACATTGTTCAATTCGATCTTTTCGTTTGTGAATCAACCCACTTTTATTATTTACTCGTATAACTAGAACTTTAAACACAAAATCACATTGCAGTCAACTACAGATTGTTTACTAACTATTTTACAAATTAAATCAAGAATATGCCTTCAAAATGGTGCTTTTCTCAATAACCCCTCTTAGTTTGGCAACAAAAGGCGTGAATATATGCTGCAAAATATTTTTATTGTGTCCCAGCTGTGCTAAAGTACCAGACAACACCCAATCGTTTTAGATAATTTATTAGTCCAACATATAGATTTTATTGCAAACAGTTCCTGTCCAGGAACCTATTTAGGAAATACTCTCGAAACCCGAGTTTATCGAGTAAATATGGTATAAAAAAGCTTATTAAGCTTGTAGATAAATTACCAAATAAATATTTTTTTATTAAAAGTGATCACCCTGATGTAAATAATTTGATATTGTAAATAATCTTATATAGTTCTCTAGCGCTCCTAGTTAGTTATTTTCTAATAGTCGCATAGCAATAATATTCACCTCCCTATGTCCCTTTATTTAGTGCCTAAATTAAACAATATTTTTAACACGAAGAATTTATCGAAGTGTTTAATTTTTATTGTCTAATAAAATAAAATTTCTATATTTATTGTTAATAATACCATTATAGTTATGTTATTGAATTGATAATACCATCACGTCTACCTTGGGAAAAGTATTTACAGCTTACCGTTAGGTGATTTGTGGAAAAATTGCTGATTTAATATTTATGACATTTATACAGGCATTAATTGTTCAGTTGTCTGTTAGAACTTAGCGTGTAAATAAATATGAAGTTTCGTTAAACTCTAAATTATGATAAACTAAATTCACGGAGTCGAGTTACATTGTTGAGTTTCTTAACGGAACAAAGTTGCATTTTTTTTTCTTCTTAAATACACGTGCCTGATTGCATGATGACTCCTTGATTTGTTTCTAGTTTAGTCGAGTGTAAATTCATTATATTCAATATTGCAGCTCGCGTTAATGAAAACATACAATTATAAAGAAGAGTATATTTTAAATGTTTCTAAGCCAATATTGAAGATAGTGAATATTTGTAAGATATATTAAGAACATATAGTATATATAATTGGTTGCATTTATGATAAGCGAGTTATTCTAATATATTTTAAAATATTTCCAAACCACCTACAACTTGTATATTGAAACAGGTGTGTTTTATTGCAGACTATCAACATTATATATATGCGATCGTATCTATGTTCTATATAGATATCGTAATATTGTTTAACACTTAATTTAATGCCGTTTTGTGGGAAGCACATTTTAAGAAACTTTTTGCGTTTAGAATATCTGTCATATCAGATCGAGGAGGCATTACAGTACCTCCAAAAAGGCTTTGAATCCCACTAATCAATATTGTTGTACTAAGTATATAATTTACTCATATTATTTATATTTATATTATACCGTTTTTCATTAAGTTTTGATTTCAGCTTAGGTTAATTTGTAACTTTTTTTAGTAGCATATTTTGTACTTTCATTTGCATAATGTATATAGTTTTTATTCATGGCGTGAATCAAGTGCAATTATAGCTTTTGCAATTGATCGTATTATCGGGATATTGCGTCTGGTTTACGAATAAAAGTCAACACAAACGGTAGAATTGTTTACCCGGTCAAGAATGCAAAAATCGTAATTGATATATTATTCAATAATTTTTGTAGTTGTTTGTAATTGGGTTGAATTCTGAAAAAAAAACAGTGTTTATATAATTTAGTTTTATTTTAGAAATTGCTGCGCAAGATTGGATTTAGGAGAAAAGGGAATATTTTGGATATGCAATTACGATACGGGAGAATAAAAAAGCACTATTTCTGACTTTTACAATCGGTATAAGTAATAATCAAAAAGTTTTGTTCAATTCGGTTTATTGTATAACAATCGATTACTCACAATGCATTTTTTGTATTATTTTCCTAAAGCAATGGCACTCGCACATATTATCAAAGTAAAAACTGTCTAAATGCTTCCAAACATTTGGAATGTCCTATCTGTATTTGGTGCTAGTTCATACAAATTCTCCAAAAAAATGTATTTTTAATTTCATAGGAGAGAACCTGTCTAATACCTTACTTAAAGTCTATTAATAAAAAATAAAAAATGTCAATGTTTAACAGGTGCAGTTTCAAATCCAAAACCTTATTTTATCTTTCAACCCCCGTTCCACATGTAAAGGTTTCAATTATGATATGGATTCGTTTATAATGTAACAAGCAAACTCTGATAAGATTTGAGTAAATGACATCATAATACTATTACGACTCGCAGTATTTTTATGACTGGAGTTGGTATGTAATAACTGTTGTAAAACAAAAAATTGCCCTAAATCACCAAGCGTACTATTAATTTGTCCATTCTGAGCTTGTTTGTGTATAAAAAAAAATTCCGTCTTATCCTAGTGGATTGCTTATAGGCATTTTGATCATCCGTAACAAATATACAGCCATTCTTGGTCTTAAAACATAAAAAACATGAATACCACCTGAAGAGTTTATTTATGTTTTATGCTTCAGTAAACGATTCAGTAAAAGTTAATTCTTTTTAACTTTACTAATCGTTTACCGACAAGTATCGCAAACTCTAACCGGCGAGTCCCAACCCTTCACGGGAACGGGCTTTCTAGACGTTGAGCAATTGTCGCAAACGCCCTTACCGCAATCTCGACAATGATGTAAAGGTAACTGGGTGCCAAAGGGATTATTACACAACACACAATTGATGCACTCACTGTCTGGCGTCCAGTAACTTGGCCTGACGTATTCCTGGAAAATTATAAGGAAAATCTGTATTCATTTGAAACAAAACACAGAAAAATATTTATTATTTTCGATTTTAAAAAAAGATGTGGGTACATGGTCCAAAGCCATTCGAGTAAAAAATATTGTTCGGTACGAGGGCGAAAATCCGTCTTTCCAACTCCTGCCAAACGCCGTATTCGTTCGAAAAGCGACACTACAGTTTTACATTGCTCACCTTTATACAGTTTTTAGGTACATCGTAAACATATTTTATGGCTGATATGGCATTCACAAGTCTTTCACCAATGTATCTTGGTGTGACTTCTCCACTCAATTGCTCTTCGGATATGTTCGCTATTAAGCTTTGTCCTCTGCCCTCGAGTTCCTAAAAGGTTTCATGTTGTATTCCATAAATAAACTACTTAAAAAATCTTACAGCGAGAAAATTGACGTATTCTGAGTAAGAGGAAAACATAGTTTTCCAAATGAAAAATCAAATTGCTTCCAGCTTTTGCAAGCTTAAACTTGGAATACTTACATCAAAACATGCATCGCACACTCGTTCTGGTTCCTTCCATCCTCTATGTGGCACTGGGCATTTTTTCGAGGAACAGCTTCCACAGAAACCTTCACCGCAACCTCGGCAATGATGTTTCGATGGTACAACTCTATTTTGCCCACTTACAAACGATACATTGCATTTGAAGCAGGCCTAAAACAAACATTTCCTGTTAGTCACTAGTTTCAGCAGCAACTCTCACATTTTTTCTAATTCACTCAAATAGATAATTTAACAATAAAACCATTTTACCTTAATTTCGTGGTTAGATTTCCAATAACTAGGAGCAATTTTATCATTCATATAATCCAAGAGCATCTTAGTGGGCGGAGAACTCACGCTTGCCACAGCGTCTGTTATCACAGAAACTCCATCCACAACTCGTTGTCCCGAATGGAAAGTGCCGAAGAGCGGTTGATCCTGCAAGTTGGGTTTACCCTTTTAATACAACATTGAAAATCGCTGTTCAAATTGGCGATAAATAATACGGGAGGCTCATAAGAACACGTTTGCACATGCACATTTACACGCGGGGTTTGATGGACTTAATGATGAATTAGAAAGCAGCAAAAGTGTTTACAGAAAGGATGCAATACCTTTATGCAAGCAATACAACTGGGGAATTTCTAGATAAAATAGGCACTTAGTTCGTTATGTCGAAAACAACTAGTTTAATGATACCTATGTACATGCAATTATCAACCAATCATACTACAAAAATCCAATACATAATTAATAATGGCCAATAAATAATGGCAATTCGAATAAATGCTCTAGAAACATTTCATTCCGGGGATTTTAAATGATTTTAAAACGGAAAACATGATGTTCATACTCGTACAAGCAATAACCAAATCTTTAACAGTGTCAAGCTTGTTTAGTTTTTACAGCAAAACACTCACACATTGGGCGAAAAGAATTGGGGAAAATCTTTAATCTATTTTTTTCAGTCAGAGTTTTTAGTGTTAGTACAAAACTAGCAGCAAAACTGATGTTAGGTTGTTTGTTTTGTAAACACCTTTTGAACGGGTGTTCTAATAAGCCTCACATAAATGTACAACTTACTCCTGGCCACATGTGGACGACTTCCAGCTGCACAGCACAGTCTTCAGGATTTTTGTTTCCATACCAGTGCTCTCTGGAAACAAAATCAACTTACCAACCCGAAAATTGGGCATCGCTTGAAACTTACCGGCTTTTGTAGATTACTCCGCATTTCGGACAATGGATAACATACCCTGACCACATCAAATTCAGGTATGATGTCCAAGAATTATCTTTGGTGTATTTAGGTTCAACCGTAGACCTTTCCCCATTTCTAACACATTTCTGAAGGAAAACCAAGTTTATCATTAGGAAAAATAAAGCAGTGAATAGTCTCTAATTTGCTCCCCTACCTTACATAAATACACAAAGTTTTGATATTGGTGTTGGAATTTGCAGGGCGCATTGCACTTATGAGGCTCATCATCTTCCTTATGGCCAGTAGAAAGCACACAACTCGCACTGCATGATTGGCACTTTTCCGGGCATGTGAAAAATTGAGCCAAAAACTGCTCGTGATTTGACTCAGTGAGTGGAGAAAAAAACTTATCATTCAGACTCTAAAAATTACAGCTTATTGAACATTCAGAATTGCCAATGCTGAAAATCAACTCACTTTAAGCATTAGGTATACGTATTTGGCCTTTCTGGCCGATCGCACGTTGGAACTCTCTAATTCCTTTTGAATTTCGGCTCTGAGACGATCGAACGACGTCTCTTGGTTATCTCGTGTTTTTACACCAATATATTTAATAAAGCTGAACTCTTCACAATTCGACCCCAAATCGGCAAAGTTTTGTCGCAAAATGTCTTCAGCTGTTACGTTCGGGTGATTGTTCAAAACATGAAGAGTATCAGTATATTGTGTTTCGTGAAATATGATCACACCAGGGGCCAATCCTAAAACAAATAATTAAATATAAAGTAAGAACGTTTCAATATTTAAAAAGTCCCAAAATGAGAAATACATTTAACTGAAGATAAAGCCGGGGGTGAAAAGGTTTTCTACCTGGCCCCAAACCAAACAAACAAAGGTTTTATTTTGGCAATTTGGTCGCTTTTAGCAGCCGGCACACCGTGTATTATTATTTCATTCTGTAAAAACTGAAAAAGTACATACCCCAGAAATGCTGGAAAATAGTAAAGCTATTTTTTAAAACAGAAATTAGTCAACTTTCGATATAAGCGAAGTAGAACTGAATGTTCGAACAGGAAACATGAGATACGCCATGTGTTTGTGACCCAGCCACCCTATGGGATTATGGCTCATGCGGAATAACAGATGTGTCGAAGAAAGAAGCCATGGGTAAAAATCGTGGAAACAATAGACATTTTTTTATCAAAAGAAATCACTAGCATTGGACCCGCAAAAATCGAGACCACTAACTGTCGATTTTTAATCCGTCTCTAAAACGCATTATTTAGTAAGTAAAATTAAAATGCAAAATTCCTTCTCTCGACCTATTTTTAGATTTTAAATGACGGTTTTCTAATCTCATGTTTACTTGAATATTATTATTTCTAATATTTTTAGAAATATTTCTATATTTTTCTAGTTATTATTTCTTAACCATAAAGACTATTTCAACAACAATAAACGGAATTAACCATCTGACAATTATTTCGCCTGGTTGAAAGCTCGAGTATAATGTCTGATAACAAATATACAGGGTGTCCCATGACGAAAGGTCACCACTTTTTAACCCTGTGTTTTATGAAAACGATTAGGTTTAAGGAAAACTTCATTAGAAGTATTTACTCTATTGATTCTGAAGATTACGTGTAATAAACCGTTGTACTAATAAAAAATACAGCAGGCACAAGAAATGCAGCTTCGCAAAATGGCTTCAAAATTTGTATGCAAGTGTTTCTTTTTTACTCTGAAGTTTTTACGAATACTCAATCCGAATACTTTTCCCAATAATCCGAAAAACGATGACCTTTTAAAACTGCAAAATCAGAGAATTAACCACTTGATAAAATAAATGAAATTTTGTCATCTGTTTATCAACTACGAGATTTTGTTTTAGATCATGAATTAAGGAAATGGAAGGAAGCATCATCAAGTTCACTAATGGGACAGAGAATCATAAATCAGAACAGAAGAACTTCTTAACAAAAACGATACCGAAAAAAAATGGAACGGTCAAGAATGCTTTCATTTAAAACATGTACCTACTCGTTTTTCGTTCGGTTCGTCAAGCGCGGTTTCACCTACCACGGATAGCACTGTAATTTATGTTCCTTTAAAATCGGCAATTGATTAATTACGAGAAATTGATAAAATCATTCTGTTAGTTCTTCTAAGCGGAGCTATTGAACTAAAAATTTAAAACTGATACGATATCAAACCAGAATTTGGAGACAATCCCTCAAATGTCATCAACTACTGAAAATAGCAACAAATAAACCGTTGCCCGCAAACAAGACAGGACAAAACAATGAAACCAATTAGTTTCCTTTAATGGCAAAATATGTAATATTTACCTGCATTGATTTTCTCTCCATCAGATCGAGCGAGGGTTTTCTGAAGCGCTGTATAGAAATGTTGTTTATATACATTAGATGCACCCCCCAAAAAGGAGTACATGTCCCGTTGTAGCCTTTCCGATCTGGTACGATAGATTATTATGTCCGATACTGCTAATATTTTAAGAAGCAACCGCGTTCTTTGATTTTCTCTCTTTGCAATACCTACGACAATTTCACAGTCAAAAAATCAGTTCATTATTTCTAGTTAGGAAAAACCTTGATTGAAACCAATTTTACCTAATAATCCTTCAGTATCGAGACAAAGTACATTCAATGTGGGATCATATTTTGCCCATACCCCCAACGTACAGGACACTTGCGAAGGGGATGTTTTAAACACTTCCTCACCATTGAAAAATAACTTATTTAAGGTATAGGACTTGCCTACACCAGTATTTCCGAAAATCGACACAACTTTAATCTGAAACAAACAATAACCATTAAAATTCTATTTGAAGTTGACTATTAAGTGCATAATCATCAACACAGTTACTGATTAGTTACCTTTTTATCAGGCTCGATATTCAGAGCCTTAGAAAATGCAGTATCTGATTCAATTCTGAGCGTTTCGTTGTCGTCGATTAGAAGAATGCCCCGTTGCCCATTATGTTCAGGCTCATCTGGAAAACACAATTTAAACTAACCGAAACTAATTATTAAATAATGTCTTATTACCAGCTCCTATTATTAAAGATTGCAGATCGCCGGTAATTGACGGATAAATGTCCAATATTTTCGTGTTATCGAAGTCTTTGCCCATGATTCTGGGATCTTCTTGAAGAGAAGGCAAAATCAAAGGAGATCCCCGCTCGAAACTGTGCCTCTTCTTCGATTCACTCGCTAGAGAGTTCATGTTTGAGGATAACTTGCCTAGGAACGACACTGGAAATAAAAAGATATATTAATAACTGATTACTCATATAAGTTCTCAATTAATTATTAAAAAAAAAAACATTTTCCTGTTTTCGAATTTTAATTAACAATTAAAATAATTTAAATTGTAACTAAAGATAACAAACAAATTGAGGACAAGGACTTTTCGTCACCAATTTTGCGCGATTTAACTGCATAATTTCTCCGGTTTTAAAAATCGATTTGGATTGATTTCTTCTAATGTGGGGGCGCCGTTCCATTAGCTATTTACTTGGTTAGTGATATATTTTTAAAGATGCTTCAATCAGTTGAATAGTAAACATAGTTGGAGAGTGGGCGGCTGCTTTGGGGACGGAAGTTAATAAATATTGTCATTTATATTTTAACCTATTTTCCTGGCTGAAGCTGAGAAAATAACTTTTCAGATTATTGCTGCGCACATTTACTTGAGAAAAACAAAGAAAAAATGTGCAATATATATAAAAGTATATAAAATATCGAAATTAAAATTTAAAATTGTGTGTTTTACACAATTTATTGTGTAAAATTAAAAAAGTTAAAATTCATGTGTTATATGCCCTTATTGGTTAATAAAGCGATAACAAGCCACATGAGGAATTACGTGAGAAAGCACATATACGCTTTTCATATTAGCTAGTCAGAAGGTGACCAAAAGAGTGACCAGAAAAACGCACATTGAAACTAGTGAGTTTTTGGGCTTTTAGGCCGTCTTAGAATATAATTTGTTCCTGACGTTGGAAGGTCCTGGAAGCATTGGATATTTTTAAATCTCTTTTTTTAAGTTGATTAGTTTCAAACAATTTTTCTTTTGAAGAAAAAAAAATTACAAGCTTTTATTCATGGTACTTTTCATGTATTTAACATTTTTATCCCATTTTTAGAAAACCTTTCAATTGATACACTTTTGAAATTTCTCTTCTGAAATTTCAAAAGTAAACTTCTATGTAATTTTTATTATTAGAACTATTCAGTACAACAAGGAAATAGTTTTTCTGAATTTATGTTATTATTCAAAATGAATTTTAGACACAACATATGTATATTTTTAAATAATACTGAAACCCAATCAACAAATGGCTAAAACCGACAAACTGTGTGTGAATAAACCAGGACAAGGTAAAACGCATTTATCGGCCTTATTTAGAAGTTTACATTTTGGTTTGCAGAAAAAACAATGAGAAAAGTCCAAGGCAAAATTTTCGATGGGTTTTTCTTTGAAACTTTACATACCTAACTACCTATTATTGAATCGTCTATTTATTCCAATAAGACGATCTTTGGAGGGGAAATAAAAATATTCCAATAACGACGATATTTAACAATTAAAACTTGTACGTAACAGTAAGTAAGTAACGTAAGTGTACGCTAGAAATTTAAAGTTCTTTGAGCCTACTGATAAATTTTAAAAAATTTCGTATTTTATAAATTTTACTATGCATGCTCAAGAACAAAGTTTTTTCAACGGAGTTTTATACCATCTGTTATATTTCCAATAGCCAGCCTGAGAAGAGCGCCATGACCCATATTAAATTAATGTTAATTGCAAAAGGTGCACATTCACTCTGGACTATTGAAGATAAATAATCAATGTACTTAAACGAAAATAATTCATCAAAGAGCCTATCTCTGGATGTGTTGACTAAATGTTGTATAATTGAATAAATGCAGATAAAATAAAGTAAAACAGCTAAATGACAATCTATTGTTGACAAAAACAAATGGATATTAGACCAAAAAACCTTGAAATGCCTGATAAGAATATGATGAGACACTAAAATTTTAAATCGTTGAGAATATTTGCGTTTGTGAATATTTATAAGCAGTTTCCAAGTGGAATGAGCCAATGAAAATCTAAGAAAAATAAAAAACGGATATTTACGTCGTTGTGAGCCCGGTGGTTCCCTGACCTCGAATTGAATCATGGCCGAAAATGTCTTGGAGAACTTTCACAAAATTTTGATCAACCACTGCACTATTTACACCGACCAGTATCGATACAAACAATGCGAATGCTGTTGAAATACTAAAATAGAGAAACAATGACCGGCTAATATATCAGTAGGAGGCAGATTCCGCGGAGAAAATCAAAAATATGTTGTTTATGAGCCACACCAAACTGAAACGCGCATTAATTTAATCCCAGCCGATTCTCGGACGGGGCAGGTGGATGCAACCATCCAACTAAACAGTTAAATAAACACATTACCTTCATTATTTCAATTAGCTCTTTCCAGTAGGAAAAGACGTGCAGGAAATCACGTAAAACGAAGGGAAAACAAAATCCTAAAAGTACAAAGCACCAGATGACTTTCACAGCAGAGATAAAAGACTTGTCTCTGTTTCACAGTAATTTTTTGACGTTTCCTGTTAAGTGAGGTTAGGTTTCGTTAAACACGGAGAGTTTTTGCACATCGGATCCAAGTATCCGCTTCTGGATGGCTCGGACCGACCAATCAGCAAAGTCGGATAGAAAGGAAAAAAAGTGATACTAAAAATCACACGCGCCGAACAAAGACAGCGTGCCGATGGGTCACGGTCATTGGCACAATTTTTAACTCTGCAGGTTCATCCAGAACGGGATTTTACTTTATTTAAGACAATTAAATGACTATAATTAATTGTAAGATGGATAATGCAGGTGAAACTATTTGTTTGTTGAGATAGTTTGGGTAAGAAATTGTAAAGAACTGAATAGCATAAAGTTGAAAAAAAATTATGTTGATGCGAAAAAAAGTTTTTTTTATATTTGCTCAGATTAGCGTTTCAAAAATATACGCATTCACATTTTTCCTTGATCTTTTCCAATCACAATTTATAATTTTTCTACAATAAATTTATTGTTGATAAATCAAATTAAATCGAGAAATATAAATGTAAACTGGATATTCTGTTGCTTTCAGGACGGAAAACTATTTATAAGATTTATTAAATAAACAATATTTTAAATTAAAAACTGGTGTTTCTTGTAGAAATGCAGATTTCCACAAGCGTCTAGGTAACAAGCGTCTACGTATACGGCACTTCTTGTCACTTCTATCGATTGCGGCGATTCGAACCAATCAAATAAGCTTACCGGTTTGTTGTTATCGAACGTATCTTTAACAAGTTCTACAAATTAGTTAAGACGATTTAAGATTAGGTGATTTTGTTTATTGTTTGATGATAATTATTTTATAAATTGTCGAGATTAACAACCGCGAGTCCACCAATCATTTTTTTTCATTCCCTCGTGACTTTCGAACCCTATATAAGCTCTAGATAAAAATGACAAACAAATAGTATCGCACAGAAATTTATAGGTAAACTTTATATGCTCCTGGCTAGTAATTTATAATTTTTTAAGAGGGATTGTTTGAATTTGTTGGCAGGAAAATAATGGCATTGTCTTTATATTAGCACAAAGAGAGACAGTGATAATTATGAGTATTTTTAAATTGATAATAAATTATTAATAATTTACAATTGATTTATTCTGATTAGCTTAAATAGGTATCAGATTTTGTATTCATAGTATTTAAATGAACAACTTTAACAACAACCATTAAATAAATCTCTTAAAAAGTTTGGCTTATTTTATATTTGACAGTATACTGAATATCCTTACATACATCGATACATTTATATGGATAGTTTTCAAATTAGTAAATACATTGCATATATTTATTTATCCGTAAAACTTATAATAAATACCACCCTGTTTGTAATAACACGTAAGAGTGCTTATCACATTAAATACTAAAAATGTATTAAAACAATATTGTATTATTGCTAAAATATTTAAAATTTCTGATTATAAATCCTCGTATTTTATATGCTTGAAATAATGAAATTAATTTACATAGTATGTACTACCTACTAAAAGGTCGCACTACGTCGTTGGTCTTCCACTTTTGTTAGGATAGTGGAAAAAGGCAATTATTTTCATGTGTTGCTTAGTGTGACATGTTAAACAAAGTTTAACACTTTATTAATAAAATCCAAAGAGATTACGGTTACAACAAAATACCGGGAAAAATCACCTAACCTTAAATCGTCTTAAATCATAATAAACCGCTGGGTTCGAATCGCCGCAATCGATAGAAGTGACAAGAACTGCCGTATACGTTCAGAGGTGTTCTGTGCGTATACGTAGACGCTTGTTGTTTCTATTGGTTGGAGATCTGCCAGTTTGTACCAGAGAAAATAAAATAAGATATTATTTTATTTTACTTACTCTATGGTTCGTACCACGACAGACGAATTGACAGGTCTCCAACCATCAAAAACACTGTCTTATCATCTGTCGCGCAGATCCCCCTCCATTCGCTCGAGTTGTGAGTGGAGGGAATTTCAGGAGTGGGAATCGCGACCCCGTCCCTGCATTTTGGGCGTAAAAAATATAAAATATAAAAAACAAAGTCCGACGCAACACACAAAATATACTAGTAAAACATGGGGGTTTTCCATGTACTTCTTGTGGGTAGTACCCCTCTGTCTGAGCGCGATTCTGCGCCAAATATAAACAACAAAAGAAGAAAAAACAAGAAAAACAAAAAAAAAAACAGAAACCAACTACAATTAAAAATAAGAAACTAAAATTAACGTGAGTCTAGGGCTCGGGTACCTGAGGCGGGCAAATAGTCTTGTCTCTGGGCGCACAATAGTTCCGCGTTGGGTTAAAAAGTTCCCTGGGAATCAAGGAGCAGGGATGTGCCGGAAAAACTAGATTTTCTCGAAGTCAGCACTCGGCTACGAAAAAAAATGGACGCGTGGCGAAGCGTCGGTAGCCTTTTTTTGATTACACCCGGACTGCCTCCGTACGAGTTTCCTTCGGGACTGACCGTACCAGAGAAAAGGGATAACTTTTCTTGTCTCTGGACCGTACGATCCCTTTTTTCCGCCCGCACCCTCGTACCCGGACGCACTATTAGTTTAAGGGCGAATCATATAATTAAGGGTGAATCACCGAACATACCCCCAAGGGGGATATTTTGTGGGGTGAATTTGAGGGATGTTTATGGGGGAAAGAAAGAATTACGATAAAATAAAAATACAAGTCCAAGAGAAGCTTATCGCCTGATTTACCACGCGGCACGTCACATCGTACAAACGGATGCATTGGACACGGGCTTAAGGGGTAATGAGGGCTCACTTGGAGAGTACGAGAAAAATATTGAAACATTTTTCAACAGTTGAAAATCGAATGTTAACTTTGTTAGTAAGCATTATTTCAAAATTGTTCTATGTTTGATTGGTAAGGAAAATGGATTTGATCAGATCAGTTTGAGCTTTCAAACATAATACGAACGAAATAATAGTATTTCTCAAAAACCAAGTTGCTCATTTCGTAGATTATGCCCTTACAAACAGTTTTTTCTTCGTAACATTTCTTGTGCCCTTGTTGTTTCTGCCACTTTTCCACAAAATTCCTAGAAAACGCTGGACACCATTCCATATGGCCTTATTAATTGTGGAAAAGTGGCAGAAAAACGTATTTGCACAAGAACCTTTACTAAGAAAACGTGCTTGTAAAGGTATAATCCACAACGGGACCAACCTGATTTTTGTACATTGTTCATGACGGTCTAAAAACCTCAAAAATTCACTTTAAAACACCTCGTTTTAATACCCTGAATCTACCAGAAATACTTGAATGAATACTCGAATGATATTAATAAACTAACATTCGTAATAAAAGCGACCTAAAATACAAGACACTGAAAAAAACTGGTACATTTGAAGCACTGAAATGAATGATATTTTTGTTGTTTGCGGCTCAGTCCGTTGCTGTTGGCACTAAATATACATAAGCAACGAAATGAATAAGAATTAAAATTAGCCGAAAAACTACATTGATTAATATAGACGAGCGTGCATCAGTCCAGTGTTATTGATAAGGACAACTATTGCGATAGATTATGCGCCATACAGTAGGGTATATTTACCACGAATTTCACTTATGATAAAAACTACACACACATGCTGGTGTTTATCAGCATTCTTCTAAAGCTTGTGGCAAATGTTTTGATTTTTCAAACGCAGATATACAAACATTATTTACGTCTACGATATACATGATTTGCGGTGGAAAACAATCAGTTTGTAGTTGTGCAAGGTAAACCGCAATAAAAACACCCAAGTACTGAAGATGATTCTTTTATTTTACAATATTCTTTAGTATTTATAACAATAAAAATAATGATAATATACAGTATTTATATTATTGCCATTTTGATTTAATTACAATATTTATAAGTGAAACTTATTACACCCGAGAAAGTTTAATGTTTTACAAAATGCCCACCCAGAAATGTGAGTTTCGAATTTAACTGTGCAGTAGAAATAGCAATCGATAATTTCTACTTCACACCCATATTCCAACTAAATATCATTATTTTATCACAATCGGCGATAATGCTCTCATATTTTGGCAAATGGTCACAAACCATTTGTAATCTATTTAGAGTGTGTTAAAATAGTTTTTTTACATACCAATCTATATCACTTGTGTTCTTATCAATTAAATTGGAAGACAGAGATAAAATAGCCGGCAAACGCGCTCGCTGTTTTACCCATTTATAGAACAAAAAGCAAAAAATTTTCACCAGTGATCATTAAGAACATTTAACAATTTGAATATTGAAGAAAAACTCAGTTGTCCGGAGTTTTACGTAACAGCAACACCAAAGCAAAAATTACTTCCGGTTTATGAAAACAATGCAAAATTTTCCAACTGAAAGCAAAATATTGCTATCTGAATGTAGTTCCACTTGATTTAATAATAGTAATCACTCTGAATTTGGCACATTTTTGTGAAAAGACAAAGAGAAGCAAAATCTTGCCTACAAAGTATTGCTATTCCAATTTCATTTAATCGAAATGAGCATGCAACATGTTCATTTCAGTTGCAATTAATAATTTTTAAAATATTGGTTGATATTACACCGGTAAAAGCACTATTATGTATTTGTATGTACAATGATAAAGACAAAAGTATTTATTTATTTTGAATATTGGCAAAAAACTATAAAAAGTCGCAGTGTACACGAAGCCGTTCATATCTAGAAGACATTAGATAAATGCATTACGTTCAGAAATGATGCTTTACAGGTGTACAGTGTTAATAATTGTTTAAAAATGAAAGTTTAAAACACAGCCTTTATACACATACCTTAATCGTTTTAAGAAATATAGAGTGTTTATAGCAATCGGCTACAAAAACTATTTAAAGCGCGTCATTTGTTTTATCGAAAATCACATAGTATTTTATCATTCTCACCATAGACACTAAATTGTAGCCTTTAACAACAATAATTTAAATAAGTCGGTGATAAAGAAATTTGTACTAAAAAAATTAAAAGAAAAATTCAGCCTTAAATTAAAAACAGATTAATGTGCACTAGACATTTGAAAAACAAATGCGCCAATTTGTATATCAGAACAGTGTAGAAGTAAAGTCTAGCAGTAGCAGGAGCACACAATAACATTTTGTAAATAGATTTGAAATTTAATTTTTCGCTGATGGTAAATTATGTAAAATAGCTAGTTTTTTTTAAATATTAGGAAGAGCACTAGAACATTTATCACATTGAAATGTGGAACACACTGGCCGCTCCAATTGGTAACAAATGAATTTATTTAACGAAAGAGTAAACCCAAAATTACACAATTTTCCCATTGACTCATTGCGAAAACCAATTTAAAAATGTTCCACATTTCGCAGATGCATGTGTATTGCTTATCAAGTTCAGTTTTGATATACTACTTTCAATGTAACAAATTTTGGCAATAATAACGCACATGAATTACATATTTCTGACCAAGACAAATATAAATATTCCAAGTCGTTTCGCGGTAGACATAGATTAGTATAATCATGCATTGACATCTTAATTCGAGTCCTTAAAAAAGGCAAGTATTAGGGCGCAAAATAAATTTATCAAAAAATCTGGGAAGTTAACCGTTGATATAACAAACCATTATGTCTAACAAGCTCTATAAATACAATACAGACTGGAAAAAATTTGACTAAACGCTCACAAAGGAGCTATAAAGATTGGAAAAATATGTGCAAAAGTTTAGTGGTGAAGCGCAAATAGTCACTGGGACAAACATTTTTTGGAAAAAAATTACACTATTTCAGAAAACATTAAAATCTAGGAATATTCGAACTTCAAGTCAAACAGTAAAAAACAGCCGTACAAAATAACTAGGCATTTTTCAAAATATACCTATAGCCTGTCAACAAATGGTTTATTATCAAATAATATACAAGGAGACAAGGTAAATTACAAAATTCATATTTGAGAAAAAAGGTAATATGCCCAATAAATGTAAATCGCGTATGCTTCAAGCCCTTAAATTAGTAATTAAGAGATAATTAGATATGTCCGATTCCTCGATACCAAAAGCGGTATTTTCCCTCATCTTAGTTTCATAAGTCAGTGGTCAAAAATATGAAAAACATGAAGACAAATCCGAGCCCCATTTGATCTTCCTGGAAAATTTACTCGAAATTTGTTAAATAATCTTCTCGAAAATACTGTATAACTCAACATTGAGCAATATTTCAAAATGTAGTCCAAGAAGTTCACAGAACGTACATAATCATGTAGGAAAGTCGTTTTAAATTATAAACACAGTAATAAATATTCCAACAACATTTAAATTAATAAAATATATATAAATTTTACATTATTTTTTCATATATCTTTCTTTACAATTACTTTCTCCTAGATTTAATTTTATGACGGTGAGCTTTTTACAGGTCATACAGCCTTATAAACATTGTTTCTAAATGTAATTTAAGGTTTACCGCAATTTTAGTAAAAAACATGTTTAATTCTCCAGGAGTAAGTGTATACAATAGTAAATTGTTGACGTAATGCGGCGCATTATATTAAATACAATAAAGTTGAAATATTATATTAAATATAATAATTCAACCGAATTTTTTGATGTTCCAAAGCTGTACAATTTCTGTAAAAAATATTAAACAAGTGAAATAAGTTATTCTTCAGTCAGGTATAGACCAAAACAAAACAATCCTAAGAGGCAGTAAAAAGTCACAAAAAAATTATATAAGAACCCATTTCAAATATCTTTTAACAACTTTCTTAGACAAAATATTCTAACTACATGTGGTTTCATACATGAACTGTGACTTGAAACCAAATTTTCAGCAAAAGCCTCGAAATTTACTAGGACTAGAAGGAAATAATTTATTGGACCAGTAAAAAGCATTTATGTAGGAAACCACTTTCAAATTTACCTGAATGGTTTTCTAACCACGCGAATCTACTACGTTCTCACTGTTTATTACCTCGACTGATCTATGTCGAGTTCGCGTCTATGTTTCAACCACTCGTCCTGGTTGTTGTTGAACACCCTCTTAGGCGATTCATTTTCCTTTCTTTTTGCCCTTAATAATCGAGGCTTGAAAGGGACATGTTTCTGATCTTCACAACCGTTTTCCTCATGTCCGTTCATATAACGCACAGTTTTTGGTTGAGGCTCGTAGTCGCCATTTATCATTGACCTGAAAAAATGTAAAAATAATATTAGAAAAATTTAAAGCGATTTTCTTCCTTAAAACACGATTTAAAAAATTAGAAAATTCTATGTAAAAACGTAATAAACTTTATGAAAATTCCGCGCAAATTTCAACAAATTTTAAATTCAAAGACAATTCACACCGCTTAAGGACTTGTCCGATAAATCAATGCATCTTCAGCTATTCCCTACATCTATTTAAATCGCGGTAAAATGGTTTATGCCCGGTAATTTGACCTCACCTTTTATAAGTAGCAATTCCAGCCAATTTTAACAGCGTTTCGGCGCCTTCTTTAATTCTCCTCTCCTCGTCGCCTTCAAAGTCTATTTTCCGTCGAGCTAATTTTATCCGTCTTCTGAAACAACAGAAAAGACTGTAGTAATGGGGGACATTGGATAAAACTCGCCTTAAATCATCCGTAGTTATTCTGTTGTACAAAAACAGACTCTGGAATATTGTTCTGTGTCTTAATTATTAAATAAACCGTTTGATCAATATTTCTATGTCGACTTATTTCGGGTAATTTTTTCGCTGCAATAAAGTAAATTCGCAAATATAATACAAAAGATCATGCACATTTAATAATAAAGTATAACAAAATTGGACAAGGAGGGCAACACTGATTGTAAAATTACAACAATTGAACAGTTTAGGCGTGTCTAAAACAATTATTTCCGGGCAGAATCCAGACAAAAAACCAATTTTTTCACTGGTTTGTCAAACCATTGAAATAAATTTCAAACGAATTGAATTGAACTTATAAACCCGAACCTTATGAAAATGAAATTGAACTTGTGAACCTATTGAACTACATTTTCTGAATAGATTTGCTATATAAAGCGCTTACATCTGTCCATAATGAAAAAGGCATCTAACATTAGGAAATAAAAACGTAACGATTTTAATCAAAAGTTAACGTTGGAATTTAAAAATGAGCGAAATAAAATACATTTCATTATCCAATGCGTCAATAAACCGCATCTTTCCTGGAAAGGAGCTATCAATATATGGCAGCCCGCCGTAATTTTTGCTAATGTTTGTTACATTTTTTCTTTATCTCATTTTAAACTATAACCTGCACTTATTACGTTATATTTTATATTATGTTTTATATTGGTTATATTTTCATTTATGTAAAATTTATTTGAGGCAAATTGAAATGACGCAAATTCAATAAACTGTTGCGTAAAATGTTAAATACATAGACGCGGATTAACAACTATTATATCATATCGTGTGCGTGAAAAACCCAATAATGACGGCACCTTTCCAGTTACGTTAGTGCACAAACAGAATACACACATATATGCAACATCTAGGATCCATTTTTTTTAAACGGCAGCATATTGCACTTTCACATAAATTACCTACCTGGTTCGAATGATCCTTAAGTCATTGCTTTATGTAAAAAACAAATAATTTAGTAAAAACACAGTTGCCCTGCCCATACATTTTATAAATTTCCGTTTTCTGGGCATGTGGAAATGTTAGCGATATGAATTCACTTACTTGTCTTCATCGCTTTCGAAGGCCTCGTCCTCGTTGTCTCCGCTATCAGCAGCGCTGTAAGTGTGGTCCTGACTTGGAGACGTTGTAATCACCTAAAAGACCGAGGAAATTAAGCAAATTAATAAGTAAACAAGGGTTCAAATGCTTTAAGTGAAACTAATTAAAAAAAAATTACCTGCATTTCCTGTTTGCTGTAAATTCTGGTTGCGTGCTTCAGACTTAACATAACTGCAGCTGCATCTGCTGCATCCAGAGACTCCTCCTATAGAGGAGAAAACAGTTTTTAGAATACCCCTTCAACGGACACGTTTGCCTTCCAATATCAACCAATATCAAGTAACTCAACGGGTATATAAATGTTCAATTCAGCACCTGTTCGGTTTTGATTTTCATTCCATCCGCCGATAACCCGGAAGCAGCAAGCTTTTTGCTCAAAAACGGGAACAGTTCCGGATTAGGCAGATTTGTACTTCTGTTTGTCAGACCCGTTCGATCTTCTTTATTCGACGAATGCGCGGCTTTTGAAGAAATCATATAGACGCTCGGATCGATCGTTGAGCATGGATGGAAGGGCGATCGATTTAGAGCCTGGATCAGATTCGGTTTGTATTGCGGATCCACAGTCCAAAGCGATCCTTTCCCCAAATTCTGCAAAAAATTGGACGAACGCTTTAATTAATATACTGGTAAATGATAATATGGTTGAGTAAAGCAGATATTTTAATTGTTAATGTAGCTTTTCCATTTTGCAATTGAGTGATTTGGGGGTTTTCAGGCTATGAAGTTTCTCACTAAAAAAGTCCACGTCTGAAAATCAAATTATTTATTTTAAGTTCAAAAGGCATTTCGAAAGGCAAATAGTTTTGTGGGAAAAACTGTTACAAGTTTATTTTCGGATTCGTTTGTCCGATGTAAACATTACGCCGTTTTATTTAGGCCGCGAATTAGAGACAAAAAAGTGAATTATTTAGAGTTTCGGTTGAATCTCAGTAATTTATGTGAAATATTCAAATGTAACGAAGATTATGTAGATTTTACTTCAGAATGACTTTAATTAAATTGCATAACTTTGATAAAATCTTTCAACTTTTGTATTGATCGCAATCGAGTGTTTGCAAATCAAGGCGGTTTTTAAGAATTTCAAATAAACCCTTTCATGTTATTGCTATATTAAAATAAGGCAACCTAATGAGCCTGAGTTAACTAATGATTCACAAAATAAAGTAAAAAAAGAATGAATAAGCAAAATAAGAAAACTCGAGCCTTACTTTAGTACTTACTGGCGCCTTTTCCACTTTCTGGAAGCACTTGTTCAATGATAGATTATGTCGCACGCTGTTCTTCCAGCCGGTGGGTGCATTTTTGAAATAGGGAAAATGATCCAAGATCCAGGCGTAGATTTCCTTAACCGGCAGCGCTTTCTGTTTGGAATCCTCGATCGCCATGAAGATGAGACAAGAAAATGAGTACGGTGGCTTGTTTTGTATGTGGATCAGTGGATCGTATGGTATATTGCTGATCCGAGAGTTGTAATTGCCGCTTCCATTGCTATTTCCATTGCTCTGCAATTACATTCTCAATTAATTGAAGCTCTGGGAGCTTGTATGTGCCGATAGTACCTGATTTGTTGCGGCAAACGCTTGGCCTCGTGGCGTTGGAGAATTCACTGCGCTATACGTGGAAGACTCGGGAGTGCTAATGGAAGAATCATCGACATAGTCGCTAGTCGGCGATTGATCGGGAAGAAACGAAACAGTACTCTTCACAGGTGTCGAAGTGCTGTTGCTCACAGGAGACGTATTGATATTCATCCCTATTGATCAAATGCCTCTAATTAGTGGCCATTCATTCAGACTCAATCAAACGATATTCGATTTTTGTCAAATTGGACGGAATGGTCTGGGCCACCAGCAAATCATTGTTTAGGCGATAATGAACTTACCAAGGAAAAAGTTTCCACCTTTCAGCACATCTCCTTCGTGGAGCCAGGAAAGGCTGGTGAGATCGTCGTCGGGGCCTTTTTGGCTTTGGGCAACAGCCAGTAAAATTGAGATCGGGGATTGTGCGTGATGAGCCGGAGTTAGAGCAATTGGGCTTCCGGGTACCGACATGCGAGGTGTGGGCGGCGCGGTATCACTTTGAACCGAGCCGGGACGTTCAGGAGACATTGATTTCTTGGAAAAATTATGTAACTGCAAAAAAACAAAATTTGTTGAAGCATCAGCATACATTCGATGTAGCATATTTTCATTCATTATATAGGTAGGAATTACACTAATGGACAACATAAATGGAAGAGTAGCAAAAAACAACACAAAAGAAAAAAAACGGCATTATTTCTTTTGTGTACTTTTTCCATCAGTTTTCCTTCTTAATACGGGTACCGCCTTTATTAAAGCCTAATTTGCTTAAGAGGTTCAGTTCCTTTGTCGATTGAGGCAGGACAAATCGGGATTTAGAGCATCAGGAGAGCACATTCTTAATATTTAACTATTAATGGCGTATTCCTTTTATACAGGTTGTTTCTGTAAAGGAAATATGTGAGCAAACTTTCAGCGAGGGTTCAGGGCATCAATAGAGACATTTGAGTAAAAAAACTCAGGTCCGGAAATGTCTCATTAAGGCGCTACGGCCTTATGATCGCAATTTTGTACCAAACCATGTTTTATCGAGTTTTAATGTATTATAAAAAACAGACTGCGGGCTGATTATGCAGGAATTAACACACTTATAGCAGAACGTGACCTGAACTTTCCAGTTGAGCCGTTTTCAAAAGTTCGTCACGTGCAAACCGGAGCGACTATAAACTTGAAATGTTGTCCAGTTCTAACCAAGGTCTGTGGCTAGAAATGGGGCATTTCAATCAAAATCGCACTGCAGGCGGACTTTCCTGCAAAAGACAAACTTTCATGCTGAGCCATTTTTTTTAAGTCCAACTCAGAGCAGGCAGCAAATTTGTCGTTAAGCACATTTATCCAGCACACTTCACTCTACCGAACTGGAAAGTTTAAAGTCCATCGGAATGTAGGCTCGGTCAGTATCGCCATTACCTGGAAAATGGTGGATTTTAGAGGAATAACCTTGTAATACTAAAAAAGAGTACAATTTTTCAGCCAATGATGAAAAAACATTTAAGGTGTCTCATTCAAATTAAGTATTTAATAAGTTTTATTATAATAAGGAGTAAAAGGGTAATTTTAGTAATGTCATAAATTATGAAGAGTAAATAACTACTGAAGCGCTCCAACATTTTTTTTTTCAATTTTGTCCCAGAATTTCATATTTCCACATTTGCTATAGTATGCCTTATTGAAACGTATCCTTAATTTTTGTAATTCTGAACCGTGGCCCAGTTAAACCTCTATCTATATGCCACCAAAACTTAAATTAGATTTACCAATTTGTTTTCCCGTGAGATAAAGTACAGAAAAAGGTGGGCCACCCTATACGTTTTTGCAATATAAACCTTGCTATAGCCAGTGTTTGTTGCAGGTGATTGTCGATAATGTTAAGTTGTTATGTTTATTTTACTACTAGCGCACGCTTGCACTAAGTATGTACATTTACTAAACAACTGAATTATCGTTTGTTATTACTGTTACCCCGAATGCTGAAAAATGTTAACTACAAATAGCCGAAAGTTACCCATTTGATAACTACTGATGTTGCCTAACCGCGATTTGTTGTGTGTTGATCAGAAACCTATCTAATCAGCTATATGAACCCAGCACTTGAAAGTTTGCTAGTGGAAAAGACGGAAACCAAGTCGGGAATAAATGTTTTGTTGCTAGAAGCATGTCACAATGTCGAAAAAAGGTTATCGAATAAGTGACCAACCACCACTTTTAAAGCAGATTAGCTAAGCAAAGTGGAAACTCTGCATAATTCTGGTGTATTCGGGCCTGAAATGGCCATCGAAGATTCGATTTTGTCAAAACTCTCATACAGGGTTATCCATTTTATGCTTGAGAAAGTAAAGTAAAAAAACCACACAAAATATTCAGATGGAGACGAAAATTTTAATTCAATATAAAGATTAAACCTTACCATTATACGTGAAAAACAATCATTTAAATGTCCTCCACGGGACCTCCTACAGGCCTCAGTCCTTTTGAAGTAATTTTGAATTACTTTTCGGCACATTACCGGTAATATCTCGGTCATAACTTCACGGATATTGGCTATCAGATTCTCAAGAGTTTGAGGATTGTTGGCGTAAACACGATCTTTCGCATAGCCCCACAAAAAGAAATCTAACGGTGTTAAGTCGCAGGATCTTGCGGGCCAATTGACAATCAATCTCGAAATTACGCGTCCTGGAAATTTCTCTTGCAATGGGGCTCTAACTGCCAGTGTTGCGTGACTCGTTGCCCGATCCTGCTGGAACCACATGTCTTCCAGATCATAATCTTTAATTTCTCTCCAAAAATAATCGGTTAACATGCGTCCATAGCGCTCAGAATTGACTGTTTCTTGATCGTTTAAAAAAAAATACGGACCATTAACACCACCGGACCATAATGCACACCATACGGTCACTTATTCAGGATGCAAAGGCCTTTCTGCGATCACTTCAGGATTTTGAGAGCCCCATATACGGCTGTTCCGTTTATTCACTTAACCATGAGCAAAAAATGAGCCTCATCGCTGAAGAAAATTCGGTTCGAAAAATCATCATCAACGACTTGTTGTTCAATCACCCAATTTGCGTATGTTCTGCATTGCCCACGGTCTTGAGACTTTTGAGGTTGAGGACCTCGGGGAATCAACGAATTCGGGTCTTCCTCCACACTTTGAGCAATAACGATATTTTCAGCTGAACAAATGCTGCGATGATGCACAGGCCTTACAATATCAGTAACCGATCCAGTCTCTTCAAATTTTTCCACTGTGTTCAAAATTGTTTGCTCTGTGGGTCGATTATGTCGACCGTAATCTGTTCGTAAAGCCCTAAACGTTGATACTGCAGAAATTTTACTTCCAATAAAAAAATAGTTGGTCAAATTTTCACATTTACATCTGTCAAGTTTTTATAACTTCCGATTTAAAAATTTGGGTAACAACAAACAACTTTAGCATTTCCCACTTTTCACATTTTTTTTGAGGTGTCAACTTATGAGAAACCTCCCTGTACAGAAAACTATTTCATACACAATTCTGAAAATTTATTTTTCAATCTTTTCTTTAGATTACCATGATGAATCATTCAACCAAAACACCTCTGAAGATGCATCTCACTCGTGCTGGCAAAACGTCACAAATAAATTCTCTTCCACCACTGTTTAAAAACCCTCACCAGTTTCCCACACGTTTAACTTGCTATTATAATGCTTCGTCACCATTTCCTTAACGAAGCTTTATTATTTCAACTTTCAATTAATTGAAAAAAAATACAGTAAAGTCCGCTTATAATGAACTTTCGGTTAAAACGAACTTTTTTCCTTCAATTGAAACGTCGTCGACAAAGACCAACGTATTTTTTTACTGGTTATAACGAACCCGTTTATAACGAACTTCCGGATATAACGATCATTTTTTAGGATAGTTGTATATTCACTTTCCGTTTATAACGAACTTCCACGCTCAGCAACACCCATCCTGCGGAGTTGTTTATATTAGTGAGAGCGAGAGACAGGCAGTGAGTTATTGTTTTTTGCCGCGTTATGTATGTAAATCGTTTTAGAATGGAAAAACAAAAACGCAAAGCTTTTTCACTAAATGAAAAGTACCAGATTATTAACAAAATGAAAAGTGGAGTAAAGCAGAGTGACATTTGTAAGGAATTAGCACTTGGAAAGTCTACTGTTGCAACAATATGGAAAAACCGAGAAAACATTTTATCAGCGTATGACAAACCAAATGTTAGATGTAGGAAGTTAAAATTATCTGCACATGAAAAGGTTGACAAGGGACTTATTAAGTGGTTTACTCAAAAAAGACAAGAAAACGTTCCCATAAGTGGCAGTGTTCTGCAAAGAAAATGTTAGTGAAATGGGGAGTAAAATCAAAGAGTTTGCTTGTTCTAAAAGTTGGGAAGAGCGTTTCAAGAAGAGGCATAATATCAGTAGCGGAAAAATTGTTGGAGAGTCTGCCGGTGAAAAAT